TGAGATGATCATATGTTTTTTCCTTTCAGTTTGTTTATATGGTGGAATACAATGATAGATTTTCATATATTGAATCATGCCTACATCTCTAGGATGATTTTTTCATGTGTTCTTGGATTTGGATTGCCAATATTTTTTCATTGAGTATTTTTTGCATCAATGTTCATGAGGAAGATTGGTCTATAATTTTCTTTGTTATATCTTTGTATGGTTTGGGTATCAGAATAACTGTAGCCTCATAAAAGAGTTTGGAAATGTTTCTTCTGTTTTTATTGTGTGGAAAAATTTGAAGAATATTGGTATTAGTTCTTCTTTGAAATTCTGGTAGAATTCTGTGTGAAACCATATGGCTCTGTACTGTTTATGCTGGGGAAACTTTTAATGACTACTTCTATTTCCTTAGGGGCTATAAGTCTATTAATTCAACTGGTCTTGATTTAATTTAATTGTCCATTTCTTTTAAATTTTCCAATTTTTTGAAGTACAGAGTTTTGAATTATGACTGGATGATTTTCTGGACTTCCTCAGTTTCTATTATTTACCCCTTTTCATTTCTGATTTTGTTAATTTGGATAGTCTCTCTCTGCCTTTTGGTTAGTTGGGATAATGGTTTGTCTATCTTGTTGATTTTCATGAAGAACCAACTTTTTGTTTCATTGATTGTATGCTCTTTTATTTATATTTGCTTTTTCAAGACAGGGTTTCTTTGTGTAGCTTTGGAGCCTGTCCTAGCACTTGCTCTGTAGACCAGGATGGCCTCAAACTCATAGAGATCCACCTGCCTCTGCCTCCCAAGTGCTGGGATTAAAGGCCTGTGACACTACTGCCCAGTTTAGCCTTGAGTTTGGTTATTTCCTGTCATCTATTCCCCCTGGATGAGTTTGTTTCTTTTTTTTCTAGAGCTTTCAGTTGAGCTGTTAAGTTGCTAGTGTGAGATTTCTTAAAATTCTTTATATTGGCATTAAGTGCTATGAACTTTTTACTTAGAACTGCTTTCATAGTATCCCATAAATTTTGGTATGTTGTACCTTCATTTTTATTGAATTCTAGAAGTCTTTAATTTCTTTCTTGATCCAGTTGTGATTCAGTTGATCATATTTAGTTTTCCTGAGTTTGTAGGCTTTCTGTAATTTGTATTGTTAAATTTTAACTTTAAGCCATTGTGATTCAATAAGATAGTATCTTTTGAGATTTGCTTTGTGACCAAGTATGCATTCAATTTTAGAGAAGATGCCATGAGATGCTGAAAATGTATATTCTTTTGTATTTGGGTGGCATGCTCTGTAGATGTCTGTTAAGCTCATTTGAGTCACCATGTGTCTTTTTTTAAATTTCTCTGTTAAGTTTTTCTGGAAGACCTGTCCATTGGTGAGAGTGGGTGTGAAGCCTCCCACTATTAGTGTGTGGGGTTTGATATGTGATTTAAGCTTTAGTATTCTTTTACAAATGTGTGTATCCTTGTGTTTGGGTCATAAATGTTCAGAATTGAGACTTCATCTCGATGGATTTTTCCTGTGATATATATATAAAATGTTCATCTCCATCTTTTGATTACCTTTGATTTGAAGTCTAGTTTGGTATTTACACCAGTTTTTTCTTAAGTCTATTTGATTGGGAAATCTTTTCCAATCCCTTCACTCTGATAATGTCTGTATTTGAAGTTGATGTGTGTTTCCTGTATGTAGAAGAAGGATGGATCCTGTTTTCATATCCACTCTGCTAGTCAAGCTGGGAGATCAATCACTTTCCTCTTCCTCCAATAGGTGTCTGTGCCTTAAATTATGCACAATAATCTTGTGTCTCTAATAAATCTCTTTTTAATGTACACATCTCCCCAGTTCAAGTGTGTATTACTTGATTGACACTATATAATTTTGACTTTTATTAAAAATAAAATCAGTTAATGATTTTGACAACAAAGCTCAAATGCCTGTAAACACCTATAAGGAAGATGTGATTTTCAAGCCAGGCATGGTGGTACATACCTATAGTCTCAACACTCCAGAAGCTAAGGAAAACAGAGATAGTGTTTATGGCTATCCTGGACAATATACTGATACCCAACCCACCTCTGAAGTAAAGCATAGAAGTTCATCTCTTCCGTTATGTAAGTCATAAACCCAAAGAATTATTGCTACATAGATAAATTATTTGAATTCTGTTTGTACTTTTTAGTTTGTTTCATTATTTATTGAACAGAAAAAATGATTCTTTACTATCCTCATAGCATCTCCCATACACTGGAAGAAAAATCTCGTGTAAAGTCTGGTTAAAGAAGACTGCAAGATTGTTATGTTATGTATTGTATCACTCTATAGGCTAGAGTTGCATTGAAAGCCTGGAATTCTGGTGGCTTAGATAACAGAAAGATTAGTACGACTGGAATTTGTGCAGAGACATGTGCTAGAAGGTGCTAGAAGTAGGAATGGAATGCTTAAAAGTCAATGTAAGGCAGAGCATGGTTTTCTGTTTTGCTAACCATATACCACTCAGGATACTGAGATGTTGAATTTTGTTTCAGAGGAACTAAGAGTTTGGTATCTTCTTTGATGTTTTTAGCAGAGGTTTAGGGCCTAAGGATGTCAGGCTGAATGGATGTCAGGCAAATATTTTGCACTTTTCCAGGTTGAGTTGAAATCCACAAATATAATTACCCACCTGTGTATTTCTGGACCAAGAATACTGTAAAAAATCCAATGGAACATTCTTGTAGGGATTAAAATTCATATAGACTTAGTTATAAACAGAGCACTATTTTTAAGTATACCTTAGGCCTTAATTTTATGTCTACTCTTCCATATGCACAGTGGTAAAAGGAAATAACCTGACTCTGGCTTGTGCCACATTGACAGAAAACCAACCATGGCAATGTCTATGCAGCTTTCACATAAAAACAGCTAATTTGTTTGGGTGGAAGATACAGTTGTATTTATTGTGTATTACATTTAACTTTAACTTTTCTACACACTTGAATATTTTTCTATGTAAGTAGTTTTCTTTTCTTTCTATGTTTTAGTTGCCATGTAGTCACTGTATATGGTAGTGGATTTCAAAATGACCTCTTTTTTTTTTGGTTTTTTGAGAAAGGGTTTCTTTGTATTGCTTTGGAGGTTGTCCTGGCCCCCAAACTCTGCCTACCTCTGCCTCCCAAGTGGTGTGATTAAAGGCATGTGTCACCAACACCCAGCCAAAAGGACAATTTTAATATAAGCATATAATGCATTTTGAGCATGTTCTCCCACATCCCCGTTTAAATCTTTTCCTGTTATTATTTTTCTCTGAATGAATCCTTTATTCCACATAGTTATAGTTTCCTGTCATATATGCTTACATGATTAAAGCCAAGATTTTAAACCACTGTAACGAACCTTTTCAAGAGAAATTTTTAAATCTTACAGAAAATCAGATGGTACCTAGGGTTCTTACATACACTCTTTCTTTTACCACAACCCCCATTATTAATATCTTGCCTTAGGAGAACATATATTCTTACACTGTTGTACAAATTACTATTCACTAAAGTCCACACTAGGATTGACTTTTGTCTTGTTTTTTTTTTCAGATGCATAGTTGCATGTATCTACCATCCTAGAATAATAAAGGACCTTTTCATTGTCCTAAAACCATCTGTTTTAGCTCATTGTCCTCATTCTCCCCTTCTCCTGATAATCATCTTTTAATATCTTTATAATGTTGCTTTTGCCAGAATGTTGTAAATGTTTCCATTAATTCTCTGAGATTTTTCACGCAGTGCATTTTTATTCTATTCACCCTTACTTCTCTCACTTACTCCTCGCAGATCTACTCCTCCTCCCCTCCTCACCCACAACTTTATGTCTTATGTTTTCCTATTCAGTAACCCATCCACTCCAGTTTGAGCTGTACACATACACTTAGGTGTGAGCTACCCATTGGATCATGGTCTGGATCCATGCCCTTAAATAAAACTGACTTTCCCTTCCCCAGAAGCTATCAACTGTCCACAGCTCCTCATAGAAGGGAGTTCTTGAACCCCTTTCCAATCCATGCTGGAAAGTAGCATAGTAAGCAATGTGCCTTTTATGGCTTGATAATTCATTTCTTTTTAATGAACATTTTAAAAAGATAACTTTTTAAACTTAGTAATAAGTTTCAACTTATATACTTTGGATTCTGATTTAATAAACCAGCTCTTTAAGACTTTAAAAAGATAAATAAGCAATTTCAAATATTTACTATGTATTTGATATTATGAACTTACTAACTCTGATAGATGAAATAATTACATTGCAGTTATATCAAAATGTTCTTGTTTGTTAGAAAGGACAATTAAAAACACAGAGAATAAGAAATGAACTAACCATGGAGATTATTATGAGTCTTGCTTATATCACATTTCAGGGAAATGTGGATCTGAAACAATGCAAAGAGGAAGCGTAAATGAGGACTGTTCTATGCCTACTAGGACATTAAATGCTGTTTTTTCCCCCTTGGTCTTCAGTTGAATTTGATGTGACAGTAGTAACCTAACCATAATCCAAATGTAGACATGCCCAACTTGTGAGTAAAAACTGGAAACTTCCTACTTAAACATCTATGGCACCCAGTCACCCTTTAGGTCCTGAAGTTGATTTTTACTCTAACCCTCTAGAATCTGCGAAAAAACCCTGAAGGTTTCCAATGCCTTAATAACGCTATGGAAGCAATGAACGCCTATGAAACGCAGAGATAACGTTGGTATATTGAGACATGTTGAAAAGATGCTGTTTAGAGAACCATCAATATGAAAATGATTGCCTTAATACTCTGGAGAAAACAATGCTTGAAAAGAACGCAGGGTGGCGCTGCAGCCTCAGAAGTAGAAGGAACCGGGACCAGCCAACCATCCAGAAGCCAGAGTCTAATGGGAGGGAGGAGGAGGGAGGGGAAGCCTTCTAAGGCCGCGGTTCCGGAAAATCTTAGGCCAGGAGATTGTGGACTTGTCCCATTGTTTGCAAGATATTTGCAGAGCGAGTCAGTGACAACGTGCACCACGGCTGGAGCAAGTTTGTTGGGAGACCAGAAGATGATGGAGGCTGGAGAGGAAATGGAGCGAGTCCTGAAAAAAAGGCAAGTCCTGCTGTTCTTTGTTTTGCTGGGCATAGCTGAGGCTGGGTCCACCCTTAGGCGTTACTCAGTGGAGGAGGAAGCAGAGAATGGCTTTTTTGTGGTCAATTTGTTAAAGGACCTGGGGCTGGAGGTAGAGGAACTCGCTGCGCGGGGACCACGAGTCATTTCCAAAGGGAAAAAATTAAACTTAGAGTTCAGTAGGCAGACGGGGGATTTGTTGTTAAGGGAGAAACTGGACAGAGAGGAACTGTGCGGCCCCGCCGAACCCTGTGTGATACCTTTCCAGGTGTTACTGGAAAATCCTTTGCAGATTTTTCAGGCTGAACTACAGATTGGGGACATAAATGATCATTCTCCCGTTTTTCTGGACAAAGAAATAATTTTGAAAATTTCAGAAATGGCTGCTTCCGGAACCACTTTCCTAATAGAACGGGCTCAAGATTTAGATGTAGGAAGCAACGGTCTGCAAACTTACACAATCAGCCCCAATTTCTATTTTCATCTTAAATTACAAGACAGTCCTGATGGCACAGTATTGCCACAGCTGGTACTGGACAAAGTGCTGGATCGGGAGGAACAGTCTGAAATCAGATTAATACTCACAGCAATAGATGGTGGGATTCCACCCAGGTCTGGCACTGCCCTGGTCCTTATTGAAGTCTTGGACATCAATGACAATGCCCCCACATTTTCAAAGATTCGATATGAGGTTCAGGTCCCAGAGAACAATCCTGTTGGATCCCAGGTTGCTGTGGTCTCTGCTAGGGATTTAGACATTGGGGACTATGGACAAATAGTTTACTCTTTTTCCCAAGCTTCTGAAGACATTCGGAAAACATTTCGAATGAATGCAACATCCGGAGAAATCCTTTTAGCAAAGACACTGGATTTCGAGTCCATCCAGACATACACAGTATCTGTTCAGGCTACAGATGGTGGGGGACTTTCTGGAAGCAGTGTGGTGTTTATCCAAGTGATGGATTTGAACGACAACTCACCTGAACTGACTGTGTCCACACTTAATAATCACATCCCAGAAAACTCCCCGGAAACCGTAGTTGCTGTGTTCAGTGTTGCAGATCCTGACTCTGGAGACAACGGAAAAATAGTGTGCTCCATCCAAGAAGATCTTCCTTTTATTCTAAAACCCTCAGTTGAGAACTTTTACACTCTTGTGACAAACACAGCCCTGGACCGGGAGACCAGATCACAGTACAACATCACCATCACCATCACCGATCTGGGCACACCCAGGCTCACAACCCAGCACACCATAATTGTGCAGGTGTCTGATGTCAACGACAACGCCCCCACCTTCACTGAAACCTCCTACACCCTGTTTGTCCAGGAGAACAACAGCCCCGCCCTGCACATAGGCACCATCAGCGCCACAGATTCAGACTCAGGCTCCAATGCCCACATCACCTACTCGCTGCTGCCCACCCACGACCCGCAGCTGGCCCTCTCCTCTCTCATTTCCATCAATGCAGACAATGGGCAGCTGTTTGCGCTCAGGTCTCTGGACTATGAGGCCCTACAGACCTTCGAGTTCCGCGTGGGCGCCACAGACCAAGGCTCACCAGCCCTCAACAGCCAGGTGCTGGTGCGAGTGCTCATGCTGGATGGTAATGACAATGCGCCCTTCGTGCTCTACCCTCTGCAGAATGCCTCTGCGCCCTGCACTGAGCTGCTGCCCAGGGCGGCAGAGCCTGACTACCTGGTTACCAAGGTGGTGGCTGTTGACCGCGACTCTGGCCAGAATGCCTGGCTGTCATTCCAGCTTCTCAAGGCCACAGAGCCAGGGCTGTTCAGCGTGTGGGCTCACAATGGCGAGGTACACACTTCCAGGATGTTGAGCGAGCGCGATGCTCCCAAGCACAGGCTGCTGCTGCTGGTCAAAGACAATGGCAATCCTCAGAGGTCTGCCACTGTCAGTCTGCATGTGCTGGTGGTGGATGGCTTCTCTCAGCCCTACCTGCCTCTGCCTGAGGTGGTGCAGGAACGCTCACACGAGGATGACTTGCTCACACTCTATCTGGTCATTGCCTTGGCTTCTGTGTCTTCGCTCTTCCTCTTGTCTGTGCTTCTGTTCGTGGGGGTGAGACTGTGCAGGAGGGGCAGGGCGGCCTCTCTGGGTGGCTGCTCTGTTCCTGAGGGACATTTTCCTGGTCACCTGGTGGATGTTAGTGGGGCAGGGACCCTGTCCCGGAGCTACCAGTATGAGGTGTGTCTGACCGGGGACTCTGGAACCACAGATTTCAAGTTTCTGAAGCCTATCATGCCCAGCTTCCTTATTCAGAGTTCAGAGAGAGAGAATAATGAAAACACCAATTACAGGAACAGTTTTGAATTTAGCTAAACATTGTTGAGAAAATACGGAGTGGAATTCCAGTTAAATGTTAAAGGCCTGATTTTACTGCTTTGCCAACTGAAGGAGTCTCTTCTTTGAATGCCACCATATTCCTCCGATCCTTTGCATGTTACTTACCAGTAAGGCTTGTAGAATAAGAAATCTAAATTTTGCTTGTATCCCAATTGTGATTAGTCTTGTGATTTTGACTTACAATGTGAGAGTAAAATTTGTGTTTCCAGAAACATATTTTTTGTAAGACAGGGTGTCATTATGTAGCACTGGTTGTCCTTGAACTCACTATGTAGACTGGGATGGCCTTGAACTCATAAAGATCTGCTTGCCCCTGCTTCCTGAGTCCTGGATTAAAGGCACATGGCTCCTCCAACTGCAGAAATCTTTAAATTTTGAGTTAGAGCTTCATTGACTAAATTTAACTTCTCCAGTTCTGGATTATTCTTTTGTTTTGTTTTTGATTTGTCTTTCGAGACAGGGTTTCTCTGTGTAACAGGCCTGGCTGTCCTGGAACTAGCTTTGTAGACCAGGCTGGTCTCAAACTCAGAGATCTGCCTGCCTCTGCCTCCTGAGTGCTGGGATTAAAGGTGTGCACCACCTCCTCCCAGCAGTTCTGGACTGTCTAAATATATATTTCTATTATTACTCGAGTTGTAGTATTTTGCAGCATGGACTATTTGTGCTCATTTATTCTCTTGTTGGTGTAACTTTTATCTTGTGATCCGACTTTAAACTCTTTACACGAGTGTGAATAACAGCACTTTCTCCATGTTTATCTACACACACGTTAAAGTATCAGCATGGAAAATGGATGATTCCTTAAGGATTGTGGGGGCCCTAATTTTTGGGTTTCAAAAAGTGTTCAAATTATCAATACAAAATAAACTCATTCAAAATCATATGCTATTCTAAAGGATAGCTAAAGGACATATACCTAGTGATTTTCAAGGGCATGACTATTTTTCATGTTTTATTTCAAATAGTCAAAACCCTTATGCTGAATTCAATACTTTCTAAAGATGATTTTTGAGACAAGGTCTCGTTGTGGTCTTGAACTTGTGACAAGTCCTCCTACATCCAGAGTGTTGGGGTTGCAGGCATTGTATTGACATTCTCAGTTAATTAAACTACTTGGGACTTTATTATACTTGAACTTATGTACAAGAGAGTATACTTGTATCTTTTTACCAACTTAGAAAATTTGTATGTAGTTTGGCATTTCATTCTAAAAAATTATGGGGTATTAAGTATTAAGATTCAATTGGGTATAGGTTCATGAGCAGTGTGTGAATCGGTTATAATTTTTTTTTTTTGGGCGGATGTGTTTTATTTTCCTAGCTTTAGTACCATAGCCTTTTCAATGTTTATTTTTTTATTTTAAAACAAAGTTTGTGATGGATCAATGAGATGGGCAACAGACCTGAAAACCCGAGTTTATCCCCAGACTCACGTGATGGAAATAGAAAACCAGTTCCTTAATGTTTTCCTCTGCTTACACACACACACACACACACACACACACACACACACACACACAATTTTTTTTAAAAAGTTACATTTTTTGAGTTATGTTTATTGGTAGCTCCCATTTATTTCATGATTAGCACAGTTACCAGGATGTTTTAGGGTCTTAATAATTTTTGACTGATTGAAAGAAAAATTGTTTTAATTGTGACACACTGATAATTTTAAAAAATATGCTAAGATATTTAATGAACAAAACTTCTGCTGAAACTAAATACTCTGATATACAATACAATAGTCTGATTTTGCTGTAGTTATTTGAACATAATGCAGTTACCACTCTGTTGTTTTTTAACATACCTTTCCTTTTTCTCTCTTAATGCTTAATTAAAGTCTCCACTCCTATCCACTGCATTAATGAATACAGAATTTCTGGTACTTAATTTTATATTTAACTATGCTTCTATGTTTCCCAAGTTACTCATCCAACTTTTTTCACTTCTTGCAGTTAAATTTGTGACACACCTTCTATAAATATTTTAATTCTTAATGCTTTTCTAACTATTACAAATTTTTACATAATTTTATGTGTATTTGAATGAGATATGATATTAAACATATGGGACTTATATCAGCGACAAAAAGGACAGCCCTGGTATCAAAAGTCTTGAGTATAACCACCTTATCACAAGTGGGATCTTGGTTAAGTGACCTCCCATGACATCAACTGTTTCAGTTATCAACTATCTTGCAGTTATCATCAAGTACAATAATTATACAAATATAGTTGCTATTAGTTTCAATCTCACTAATGTTAGGAATAAACTCAATAATGAGCATGTGTGTAGCACTCCTGATACTCATGTAGAGAGCAGATCGAGGAGCAGACTGAACACATCATAACTGCATTGCTTAATTTTTTTTGTCTACCTACAACCTTGTAATAGCTCCCAGTTTGCTCTTAGAATAAAACACAAGCACTTAAATTTATCCTGGGTTTTACTTTCTTCATCGCTGTAGCCCTTGAGACACTAGTTTCTGGTACACTGCCTTTATTATCTAAATTATAGATGCTTCACTCTTATAGGCTCTTTTCTTCTGTATCACCTGTTACACTTCTGATCCTTAACGGTCTACTGGGGAGAATTTTCATAACGACTCCCCATTAAATTCTGTGCACTCAGTATGTTTCCTATGTCACATATTCCACACTGTTTGGGCATGTTTAAAATCTGTGAACCATGTTAGATGCAAAAACTGTATAAAATTTAGAGATCTTACCTTGCTACCGTTATTTGTATAACTTCTAGAAATTAAATTATTATCCATGGTAATAAGTTATTATGGGTTAAACTAACAATTATTAAATTTGTGTGGAAGGAGAGGAAATGTTCCTAAATACCCCAGGAACATGAAAATATGGAAGCAATTATGCATTTGGGCCATCTGATGTCAGTTATCATATTTCACCACCTTGACTTTTCAGTGTCTCTCCTATTACTACTGAAACCCACACATTTTTACAAAAATTAGAAAATGAAGAAAACCACAGAAATGAGATATAAGCATTTTATCACTTAAGATAAAACCTTTTAAAATTTGCAGGTAGTACTTACAGACGAGGGTACTCAAGCATATGTACACTTGTAGATCATGTAAATAAGGATTCTTATTAGAGACAGCTAATTCCATTTAATGTATTATACTTTCCTAGTTTTTGTTTAACTTGTGTGGCACAAGGAACTCCCTAAATAGGGTCAAGTAGGTTTGATAATGGCAGGGAAAATCGACATAAAACAAAACCAATACCTTTTCTAAGTATTTAAAACTGAAAATGAACACATGGTGGCGCTGTTGACTAAATAGACGAATCAAGACATTGCTCACTCCATACTGAGAGACTTAAGGAGGAGCGATTTGATGCAGTAACACAAGGGTTTGTAGACCTGGGCAGATTTTTAAGCAGGAAAATCGGAATCTCTTGATAACATTGTTACGCTATCTCCAAAAGACGTTGTCTTTCACAGAGAAACATAAAGCTCCTTTTGGTGACAAGCCCTTGGAAAAACACCACGGAAATGGAGGCCAGAGAGGAGTGCTTTCTTAAACCAAGGCAAGTCTTGCTTCTCTTTGTTTTTCTAGGAGGGTCTCTTGCTGGGTCCGGGGCTAGGCGCTATTCTGTGGCCGAGGAAAAAGAGAAGGGCTTCTTAGTAGCCAATCTAGCGAAGGATCTGGGACTCAGGGTAGAAGAACTGGCTGAAAGGAGAGCTCAGGCTGTCTCCAAAGGGAACATACAATATTTTCACCTCAGCCATCAGACCGGAGATTTGCTCTTGGTTGAGAAATTGGACCGGGAGGAGCTGTGCGGTTCCACAGAGCCTTGTGTGTTGCACTTTCAGATATTGCTGCATAATCCTTTGCAGTTTATTACAAATGAGCTAGAGATCATAGATGTAAATGACAATGCCCCGGAGTTCTTTGAAAATGCAATGCAGCTCAAAGTGCTGGAGAGCTCCCCACCCGGAACAATAATTCCCTTGGGAAATGCTGTGGATCTGGACGTGGGAAGAAACGGACTCCAGAACTACACGGTCTTTCCCACGTCCCATTTTCATGTTCGCACCCGCCACCGTAGGGATGGAAGGAAGCATCCAGAACTAGTGCTAGACAGAGCTCTGGATCGGGAAGAGCAGCCAGAGCTCAGTTTAACTCTCACAGCCCTGGATGGAGGATCCCCACCTCGGTCTGGCACTGCCCAAGTCCACATCCTGGTCTTAGATATAAACGATAATGCCCCAGAATTTACGCAGTCACTCTATGAGGTTCACATTCTAGAGAAGAGCCCTGTTGGCTCTGTCATTATCACAGTCTCAGCTTCTGACTTAGATACGGGAAATTTTGGTGCAATATCATATGCATTTTTCCATGCGTCTGAAGAAATTCTCAAAACTTTTCAACTAAATCCCATCACTGGTGATATACAGCTAGTCAAGGGTTTGGATTATGAAACAATGAATACTTATGAAGTTGACATAGAGGCTAAGGATGGTGGAGGCCTTTCAGGAAAATGTACAGTCATAGTCCAGGTAGTAGATGTGAACGATAACCCGCCAGAACTGACTTTGACATCAGTTAACAGTCCTATCCCCGAGAATTTGGCAGAGATTGTAGTGGCTGTTTTCAGTGTTGCTGACTTAGACTCTGGAGATAATGGAAAAGTGACCTGTTTCATCCAGAACGATCTCCCCTTCATCCTGAAACCATCTATAGAGAACTTCTACACTATAGTGTCTGAAGGAGCACTGGACAGAGAAAGCAGAGCTGAGTACAACATCACCATCACAGTTACCGACATGGGCACACCCAGGCTCACAACCCAGCACACCATAACTGTGCAGGTGTCCGATGTCAACGACAATGCCCCCACCTTCACTGAAACCTCCTACACCCTGTTTGTCCAGGAGAACAACAGCCCCGCCCTGCACATAGGCACCATCAGCGCCACAGATTCAGACTCAGGCTCCAATGCCCACATCACCTACTCGCTGCTGCCCACCCACGACCCGCAGCTGGCCCTCTCCTCTCTCATTTCCATCAATGCAGACAATGGGCAGCTGTTTGCGCTCAGGTCTCTGGACTATGAGGCCCTACAGACCTTCGAGTTCCGCGTGGGCGCCACAGACCAAGGCTCACCAGCGCTCAGCAGCCAGGTACTGGTGCATGTGCTCGTGCTGGATGCCAACGACAATGCACCCTTCGTGCTCTATCCGCTGCAGAATAATACCTCTGTGCCCTTCACGGAGCTGCTTCCCAGGGTAGCAGAGCCTGGCTACTTGGTCACCAAGGTGGTGGCAGTGGATCACGACTCTGGCCAGAATGCCTGGCTGTCATTCCAGCTTCTCAAGGCCACAGAGCCAGGGCTGTTCAGTGTGTGGGCTCACAATGGTGAGGTGCGCACTGCCAGGCTGCTGAATGAGCGCGATGCTCCCAAGCACAGGCTGCTACTGTTGGTCAAGGACAATGGTGATCCTCAGAGGTCTGCCAGTGTCACTCTGCACGTGCTGGTGGTGGATGGCTTCTCTCAGCCCTACCTGCCTCTGCCTGAGGTGGCGCATGACCCAGCACAGGAAGATGATGTCCTCACCCTCCATTTGGTCATAGCCTTGGCGTCTGTGTCTTCTCTCTTCCTCTTGTCTGTGCTTCTGTTCGTGGGGGTGAGACTGTGCAGGAGAGCCAGGACAGCCTCTCTGGGTGGCTGCTCTGTTCCTGGGGAACACTTTCCTAGTCACCTGGTGGATGTCAGCAGCACAGGAACCCTATCCCAGAGTTACCAGTATGAGGTATGTCTGACGGGAGATTCTGGGACTGGTGAGTTCAAATTCCTGAATCCGGTGATACCGAACTTGTTTATGGAAAAATCTGAGAGAGAAATTAAGGGAAGTCCCCAATGCAGGCGTAGCTTTGTAGTCAGCTAAGAATTGGAAATGGTCCATCATCTCTCAGTTTTGGCAAACTTCTTATTGCAAGTATTCATTTAAGAAGTTGTGCTACGCTGGTTTCCAACACACACACACACACACACACACACACACACACACACACACACATCTCCAGTAATTCAACCTATGGTATCCAAAATAGCTGTAAACTTGTTACACTTTTACTAATACCAATTTTACTTATGATTTTGAGTTTGTGCCCATTTTATATGCATTTTCTCCATATTTGGGCATCTCTTGGTGATTATTGCCATAATAGTTAAGGAATAATGTCTTCATGACATTCTGAAACTTTTCAATGCATTTAAAAATTACAGTTGTGTGTATTTGTGGCACCTGTTTTTACCTTAGAACTTTATGGACGTTTAGGTTACATTGCTTGAAATTCTTTAGGGGTCCTTGGCCTTTGGCAGTTCAGCAACCTGCATATCTGTAAAATCTAGCACACATCTTTCTCTTAAATGATATGTAAACACATATTATATCAAAACATCACTGTGTGGAAGTTGTGCTGTGTCCTGTTGTGACCACTGTGTATCCTAGATATCATTATGTGTTCTAAGCACTAAAATTAAACTCTTCAAATAATTATACAATAAAAATTAAGGAGAAAATATCACATGCTTGCTCCTCTTTTTTTATGAAGCCAGTCTGTTAATCACTGGTTTGATGAGATCCTTTAAAGAAGTCAGCTCAGTATCTGAATTATAAACCAACTCTAAGTTAAATTGAGGGCTCTTGAGGGCTTCGATTCCTTCTCCACATGGACATAAGTCTCATTATAATGAACAGATGTATTTTCTTGGGGGGAGGGTCAGTCTAGCTTTCCTTACCTTTAAAAAAAGAGGACATTTCTTCTGAATTTTGGTTCTCATGTTTAATGATGATGTCAGATATTTGATTTTGTAATACTTGATAGGGCTTGGAAGATTTTTGTCATTTAAAAAATTTGTTTTTGCTGTTTAGTTTTACTTTTGTTGCCCAATGTAGCCTCCAGTTAATTATATATTAGTTTTTATATTAAGGAAAGTATTATTTGTATAAAATTATATTGTTTTTATCATGAATATGTTGGAACAATATTGCAATTGTCTGAACAGTAACTGTTTGCTGTAGTGTTCAGTAAGCCTAGTAAAGTTTTGGTGTGGTTTATAAATCAATTTATATGGTTCTAACTATAAAATGTCATTGAACTTTGTCAGAAAAAAATGAGTCATTTAAAAAACTTTCCTTGTAACCTAGAATTTATTTTATAATCCATTATATTATACTCCTGTACACTTCTGAAAATTACTTTTACCTCTAAGAATACAAGAAAAAAGGAAGTTTGACTTGTTCTTGAAACATAGATTTTAGTCTTTACCCACCTTTAAAAGTGAATCAAGAAAGGAACAAAACTCAGAGCAGAGTTATGCACAAAGATATGACATAAATATAGTAGACAACATTAAGGACTTTCCCATTGTTTTCAGATATATAGATGAAATATATATTGGATGGCCCTTAATAAACCCAAATGAAGGTTCCATAATTATGCTTGAATACCATGACAATTTAATCCCACTTTAACTTAGACACCAAGTCCATTTTGTATAATTATATAAATGAAAGTGGACAAATAAATACCAAGGAACACCCCACTCTGATTCCTCTGTATAGTCAAAAAGTGTGGAATATTCTAGACCAGCTAGGGGCCACCACCAGCTTATAATTTGAATTTCAGTTACTACCATACAGCAGTAAACATGACCCAGACAACTTACACAAAATGTATAACTTAGAAACAAGGTCATTTTGTTGTTACTGAACAAGAGTGGAGAATAGAGGGCAGGTATCTTGATAGTGGCACATATATTAACATGTTTTTTTTCCTCAGATGCTTTTATTACATGTGCTTGTCTTGCAATTCATTGCTGCTGTTTTTAGACACAGAATGATTTTAACATGTGCTGTTCTAGGGCAGAAATTTTATTGAATGTAGCAAAGCTCATATCACTTTAAGATTTGCTCTTTGCACAAATGCATATATTATAATTAATATGATATATAATATTTAATAAAATATATTACATTATTAGAGTCAGGCTAAAAATTGTGCACATACCTGTAGAATTAGCCTTCTCTGTTAGATTGTTTATCTGACATCACAAAGCAATTATACTTACAGATTAAAAGTCACAAACTATCCTTTTAAAAATAACAGAAAGACAATGATATTATAAGAGCTGGATGGGCTAAGATTACTGAGAAGAAAGGTCCTTGGACAGCTGAGTTGACAAGTCTGTTTTGCCCCAGAGAAATTTGCTAAGTCTGAAAACAAGCAACAAGCTCTTGACAGGGACAAAGTGAATCAGTAAACTTTGACAGCCTGGAAGATTCAACCTTTGTTTTAGTTTCTCCATTCATGACACTTAAACTCAGGGAAGACATCCAGAGTTAAAGAACTCAAGTAGAAAATTCATCAAAAGCAGAGTGAAGTTTTACTTGCTAAACAAATCGCTGCAAGCCTTCCATGAGAAGGGGATATGGAGAATACAACAAATTCTAAACTGTAACTGTTGTAGAGTTTGGTGCTTATTAAACCTTCAAAGAACCTCAACTAAGTACAGTGCTTGTTCGCAGAGGGTGGTCTGATTAGATAGGATTCTATCAAGCTAACAGTAAAAGGTAAATTCCTCCTGGAGGAAGATAATAGAGTTGTGACCCTAGAGAGTTTTTACATGGTTACTCAACATTTCATAGAAATTTCAGGGCACATATCAATAAAAAATTAAATTCTATAAACAAAAACAATAATATGAATATGTTATCTAATTTTGTAGAACATAGATTGACTTAAGCAAATAAAAAGGTCACTAACAGATAGATTATTTATGATTCCATTTCAGAGAAATAGTTAGTGCTTATAATCATAGGGCAGGAAATAAATGCTCTGTCAGCTAGAGCTGTGGAAACAGGAGTATGGAGTATGCCTGTTAATCCACAGGCAAAGTGTTGTTGCTTTAGAAGATAAAAAGCATGTGAAGATGGATGTTGCTGACATACAAAAATGCCAATAAACTTACTAACTTACTACCCATGAACTATATATTTAAAAAAGTGGTTAAGATGATTCATTTTTTGTTGTGTGTAGTCTACTATAAAGTAAATGATTCAAAATTTTTTTAAAAAAGAATGTTGTCTAAAAGAAACTAGAAATGAATGTACCAAATAGTTTTTAAACATATAGATAATGTGTTAAAATAAGAAACAGTGTGTAAAGTAGATAAAAGGAAATTTCACCATCAAATGGAAATCTTAAACTATAAATTTTGAAACTGAGAAAAAAAATTGTTGAATGCCAGAGACATAAAGAAATGCAGAAAAAGTGGGTGCAAGATGACTCCAGATGAAATATCCAAATTGAGACACAAAGGAAACATAAATATGGAAAAGAACATTAGTAACATTTGGGATGTAATGAAGTTTTCTAATATGTATACAACTGTAATCCTAGAAGGGATGAGAGAATAAGAGATAATGAGCAATAACTACTAAATTGGTAAGTCTTCTACTGTTCAAGAAGCTTAGTGAAACTCAATCAGAATGAATAAAAGACAAAGAACAGCCAGGTGTATCACAGTAAAATTGATCACTACCAAGTTGAATAAGAAAAAAGTTCTTAAAGCAATCACATGAATATGATAAAATTACTTTTAAAAAGATTTTACAAGATGGACTGCTGACTTTAAAACATAAATCACGGAACTAAAGAAAATGTCTTAAAAGTCTTGCAAGTTATTTAAAAAGCTGAATTGTATTACCATCACACCCTTCAAAAACAAATTTTTTCTCAAAGAATTAATCACATTCTAATCAAAAGAAATGTATTCTTTGTGTGTGTGTGTGTGTGTGTGTGTGTGTGTGTGTGTGTGTGTGTAATTCATCAGACAGAAAGAAA